AGGAACGTCATGGAATATTACCCAAAATTTATCGCAGAAAAAATAAAGAAAGAGACGCAAAAATTGGAAAGGATCCGAGATTCCAAAAACTTATATCCTGTCTGGTTCCTTTGACAAAAAGCTCTGAAAGGTCGCCTTCTTTTACGAGGAAGCGGCATTTCACAATGTGAAGTGAAAGTGATTTCTTTGCGGAATCTAAAAAATGCAAAAAAAAAATTGCTCATTCAGAATGTATGACATGTTTTCCATAAGGCTATGCACGAAAAAAGTTTCGATAAGCAGGTGCACATGGCCATGGTAAGCTGGTTACATATGCTGAGATTTCAGAAGTTTTCCATCATCTCATTTAACCCTGAACACAATGATAATTCCCATATGATAATATTATCATCAAGATCCAATTAGGATAATTACAAGGTAAAAGCAGTGGAATAGAATATTTACCGAGTGGAAGGAATACTTAACCTACAGTAGTCAGTTCAGAAGCGGTTCGATTAGTTCTCGCGCATCTGCAAAGGTCTGAACAAAAATTCCTAATATTGGACATTCGGGTGTTTTCAGTGTTTTACAGCGTGTTTTTAAGTAAACGTTGATGAAAAATAAATTACTTTAACGAGTTAGGAGAACAAAACATTTTGATCACCCCTTAGATCACATTGAAAGACAAAATCCTTTTGTTCCGATATTCTGTTGTGGTAATTGCCTCTCAATGGAAACATGCTTCTTCTCTTTAACCTGTAATTTCTGTTAGCACCTCAAGGAAATGGTTGCAAAAAACTAAATTTTGATTTTATTCTACCTCTGCTACGATCAGAAGTTTAGTCATCTCAGCTTTTCCGACCCAACCAACTTGTTGTTGCTCGAAAAATTTCTCAGTATAGCATCTGATTTAGGCACGAGGACCTCATCGGTCAACCATGATCGCACAGCATTAGAAAATGGCGTTACTTATTTCTTCAAATAAAGCGCAAACTTTAGAAAGATACCGTCCAATCTCTCTAAGCCTGCATGTGTGACGTGAGGACAATTCAGATAGGAAAAAGTTTGCTATTTCAGATTAGACAAATCTCGTCAGAAATAAACTCTAACGAGAGTTTTGCGAGGTGCCAAGAAGTCTAATGATGTCTATTGTTTCCTCGACATAATTAATCTTCCGTAGATACACTACTTTTGGCACCATTTATACATCTCAAACGGTTGGTTAAGTCGTAGATTTCGCTTTTGGAGTTAACACTTTTTCTCATAGATACACTGACCGTAAAAAAGTAGAAAAACATTCAACGAAACCTGTTTCATGATAGAGAGTCTTTGCCTCTTGATATCCTCGTGCCACTTAAATGAACTGAAATTAAATGAGTACTGTAGGAGACTTCAGTTGCGATGGGAGTTTAGTTGGCGCCCTTAGGTCTGACCCTCTTAAGCTTTGAAATGAAAAAAGAAATTCTGACAATGAACATAACTCTGAAATGGCCAGTGAAATAAAAAAGATAGATATTATCAGGATAAAAAAGCAATTCTCGGTGGACGAAATTGCATGCATGATATAAAGACTTCTTCATACAAAGTGCGACATAGAGATTTTTATCTATGAGGTTCTATGCTGAAATTTGTTTAACATATTGTGACGGCCAACAAAGTCAGGTGAACGCTATAAAATTTATTTACATTACGGTTGATCGTGGTTGCTAAAAGGAATAAACAATTACAAGATATTACGAAGCAGAAAGAATAGGAAAACGCCAAACAACAGAGGAAATACAATCGGACAAGGAAAGACGCTTACAAACGTTGTGTGACTTGCGAGCACGAAGGACAGAAAAACCAAAAGATGTTCGCAGTGAAGGAATTGATGTTAACCTAATGCACTCTGAAACTCCAATGTTCAATTTTTTTGAGAAACTTTTACGAATGAAATCAAACAAAGAAGAAATATGCGAAAAATCTAACAGAATAAAAATCGCCGTGGGTGAAAAGTATACGAAAACAATAAGAAAAATGTGAGTGAAAAAACACGAAAATGTAATTAGGAACGTCCTAGGAAAGAAATCACTGAGTGGGAATGCCGCAGTTACACATATAGATAAAGAGAATTTAACAGATACTTGAAATCAGTTTAATTTCCCCAGATACCATAAGCTTACATACAGAACCACAAAAAAAATCAAAGTTGATCTCAATGACCGCGTGCAAAATAGAAACACATCCAGTTTCCAGTCCAGCAGCAAGTATACAGAAAGCCCACAAGCTAGGATATCACTTACCATTCAAACTGAAGAAATACGGGAGAATTCGTAAATAAAAAGTGTAAAATATTTGCTTGCCCCGTATATACACCACTGTCATATTCAATCTTATAATTAATCCTTAAGCTTGTGCCCCGTTATATTCTAAAATGAAAACTTTGTCAATACCAATACTAGTAAAATATTACGTTGGAAATAATCTATCTTCTATTTGAACTATTCTGTCTGAACAAAACATTTCCGAGTTGCTCAAAAGCCCGATCCGTATAGTTTAAACGAGGGTAAGAAAGAAGCCTTCGATACCATGGCTCGATATCAGTTGTGATGATTTTCAGTTTATCCTTGTGTAAGTAAGATTCTCTCTTGTGACGTTGATTATTCACTTGTTCTAATTTCCAATGGAATGCTCTTGGACCTCAGAAATATTATTTTCAATATGGGTCATCATTTCGAACCCCCAGAAAAATGCGATTCCACAGTGGCATTCCCTAATATCCTCAAAGTAGACTGTTATTGTTATACAAAAATCATCCACAGAAAAACGAATATCTGAAATTCATAAAACAATAAAGATCATAAATCCTCTAAATGATTTTACCTCATGTAGTGATACGAAAATAGAAATTGATACCTTGATAGCTACCACAAAGCCGCGAAAAGTAAACAAACATCATCTGATGAATAATGAAAGTGTCATGTTTGTTCATTGAAATAGATAGTCACGCATAACTGACACAAGTGTTCCTTAGTGTCAGTCGCATATCATGTTCACTTAATGAAGAGACACTAGCTTGTTTGCTCAATATATTTAGTTCGCACGCAATTCACATTTATCACGTACTGAATATCATTTAGTATGTGTTTTCATTTTCTATCAGCGTCATCCGGCAGATGATTTCTAGGCGATATAACACAAACAAGACTTCAAAGAATTGAAAAGTTTATTTATATAGTTACCACCTGATCGCACAATTACACGCCGGCTAAAAAATCTAGTTTGGAATGTCAACATTGTTTTGTGTCTGCTCTGCTCTAGTTCATCATCGCCTGAGGCCCCGTATCAACCACTTTCGACATCTCATTACGCGCTCACAAACACCGACTATACAGCTTGTAAACATAAGAGCGGTCTCTATGCTGAAGAGTAATTTTAGTAACACATTGAAAGAAAACATTTGAGGAAGGCCCTCTTATTGGTTAACTGAGGTAAGAAGATTTGCAACTCAATATAATCCCGAGACTCCTGTAATCCAATCGATCCATTTCACGTAACTCTTGAGAACGATGGTCCATGGTTATCGCAAAACACTGAGTTGAACATGTGGCGAAGCAAATCTTCTTTTAAAGTAATACAGACGGAGTGGAAAGACGAACAACCAACGGGAAAGGACATCATACAGCTGTACAGCACTGAATCTCGAGCTCGAAAGGAAAGAGACAAAAAAATTATCGAGATCCAGAAGAAAGCTAAACGAAAGAATGATTCTGGTAATTCGTCGCTGCTGGCGAAAGGAAACACTGAGAGGCGAAAGAACTCCCAGGCAAAAGGTAGAAATGTTACAACGAAATTGCCTCCAATTGGAAGTAGGGAAAAGCCGAGGAAAGGGGTACGCAGATGGAGTAAGAGATCAAGCTTGAGAGACGAGGAGGTGCAATTATTACCCGATATAAAGTCATTGACCTTGAATGTTGATTACTACAAGGAACGTCGTTCGAAAGATCCATCACGAGATCCAAGATTTCAACGTTTAATTTCCAGTTTATTGATCAATAAGGATTATTACGGTGACTTGCAGAGATTTGCCCCACCAAAAAGAGAAATGAGCAAACGGACTCGACTTGGATTAGGCTTCTGAAACCCTGGCGAAATTAACGAATCGAGACCTTTCCCACATGCTGGGCGAAGAGTCAGGAGGGATCATCACGGTTCCAGAGGGATCGATACTTCTCTTTATCATGAGGGTGAAGCGCTGTACCTCTCCTTAAAAAAAAAACAAAGAACTATGTAGGTTAAAAGAACATGAGTTTCGTTGTTTTCATTTGTAGAAGATTTCCTTCTTACATTTGTAAACGTGCCACGTTGAACAGATTTCGTGATGTCACATGCAGCTTGAGGCAGGGGTTTCAAGGTACAGATGACACCTCCTCCTGGAGAGGATTGTAAATCAATCTTTGAACGCATAACTGAGCAAAATGGATATAAATCGATATTAAAACCAATGGAGTTTGATTGATTGGTATCAATGATCGACCAGTAATCGACTAAGGACTTTCCCAGGATGGTTCCGATCGTATTTGTGTCGATGAGTAATTGTGAATCGGTTAGTATCGATTTCTACACTAATCGATGGCGTTAACGTATTTAAGAATTAAACCAGGTAGGGTCCGTGAAAGTCGATAAAATAAAAAAATGAAAGGAAATGAGAGAAGAAATTATTATTGATCTTAAGCAGAAAATAAATTCTCAACAACGTCTCCATTACATTCCGAATTAACGCGACGGGAACCTGAATTGAAAAATTAGAGTAGTACAAAACGGAATCCCTACAGTATAAGACATAATCATAACACGCAATCGCTTAAGCTTGCTTTTTTTTTTTTAAGAAGAGTTATTTTGTGTTCAGAAGTTTTTTTGAAGTGCTTTGGATGGAATATCGATAGGAAACCCAAACGCTTTACTGAACATTGGCAAGCAGAGCCTATGTGGAGCGAATTTAAATAATAGGGGCTGACTACTATGTGTGGAAGTGTCTGACCTTTCCTGAACTCCTCACACGTCGTATTCCACCTCGGTTGTCACCCGGCGCTTTATCATCAGTGACCAAACTAAAACGGAAAGATAACGTTTACCGCGTGACAAAAACAGGAATGTGACTTTCCCAGACCCCTGAATTCAGTGGTGTTGCGGCTCAAGGACGAGTTACACTGGACGCGACAAAATGCGCTAAACACCCGACATCATCAGGTAACTCACACTTATCGATATGAATTGGGGGTTAGTTTTCGTAGTCACGTTTGCAATTCTTTTTGCTTCAAAATCAACTCGAGCTGAACCCGAGGAGATTCAGAATTCCCCCGTCGTTCACACCGAGTCTGGAGCAGTTATCGGTAAAATTGAAGCCCTTCCAAACGGTAAATCAGTGTATGAGTATCTTGGTATCCCATATGCAGAGCCTCCAGTTGAAGGGTTGAGGTTTGCAGCTCCAAAGCCCATCAAACCTTGGACGGGGATAAAACAAGCCACTGAGTTTGGAGCAACTTGTGGACAACCGGCACTGAACTATCCTAATGCCGGCCTTTTTCATCCAGGTATTCTATTTTAGATGCATGATTAACATCTTAGTTAATAAGAAGGAAATTTTATGGCTCAAATCAATGGACTACAGCTCTTCGGAAATTTCTCCTTGATATACCAGCGAATATGTTTGCGTCGTACATTATTTGCTTGGTATTAAAGTGCATCTTGTTCGAAAGAACCAGTGCAGTTTTCCTTTACACTGCTTTAACCAAGGAGCTGATAAAGTTATTTGCCATTACTGCTGGATTATAGAATGAAATTGGTTGAAAGTCTGCTGAAACTCCTGATTTCCATGTCTTTGAGATCGTAAACGAGGTCGTTGCGTGACGCTGCGGGTGAAATCAATTTTTGTTTGAAGTGTAGCGATTAATCTGTAGTGGCTGTCTCTTGACGTCATTAGCTTCACGGCTCAGCTGCTTTCATCATTTCGGGATAACGAGCTCTCATCTTAAATAACGATGGTCTAATGTTTTTTTTTCTGTCTCACTCTCTTAACCCGACTCAAGTTTCCATGTCATTGCGGTGATCGTTTTACCATCTTAATATTTTTTGTCGTGAATGAGCTGACGCTCATAAGCATACATCACAGTCGAATATCCGTGTCAGTATTGTGTAGTACATCTCTAATTGTATGCAAAAACATATTGGATCATTATCAGTGGCTAGGAACAGACTCTTATAACAAACTACCGCACAATTTTAATAGAAAAACCCTCATATAAAACGTCATTGTCACACAGCAACAATTCAGAGTTTCAGTTGAAATTCCTTGGATGTGAGATACGAATTTTAGGTCCCTGGGTGTAAGGAAAGCATTTACGATCGATATCAACATCTGCGAGCAGACCCTTGATGTAAGATTTTTCGATCGGTATAAACATCTAGGCACGGGTTTAACATGAAGATACATTGTAAGGTCAATATCAACAGCTGAGCACGGGATACGCACTGGAGGTAAGAATTTGCGATCAACACAGACCCCTTATCGTAAGATTTTCCGATTCATGTGAACATCGGGGCACAGACATGTCATGTAAGACATACTGATATAAACCCCTGATTGTAAGAACCCCTAAATGTAATGTTTGTGCTACTGTTTCAGGGAGTGATGAAGAGGACTGTCTTTTCCTGAACGTTTTCGTTCCATCGACAATTAAACCCGACGAAAAGATGGTTGTAATGGTTTTTATTTATGGCGGTGGATACACAGAAGGTTCCTCTTCTTCGTACCCTGGTGCAGTCTTGGCCGCCTTCAATGATGTAATTTTTCTGTCATTTAATTACCGAATAGGAATACTGGGATTTTTCAACGTTCCTGGCACTGATATCACAGGAAATTATGGGATGTTGGATCAGGTATTTGCTTTTCTTTTTAAATAACCGATCAACAAAGCATAAACTTTTCGTAATGATATTGTACAGGCAGCCACTTATCCTAGTATTGGGTTCATGTATTTTATGATCGTTAACGCCCAGAAGGAAACTAACTCGCTACACTAAGTTTTGATTGTAGTGTAGACCGGAGGGAATTTGAGGACTCTTTTTCGCAAACAGGTAAATTAGAGGATCTGAATACCTGAATACCCGAATACCGATACCTTAGTATTTTTTTTTTGGCAGAATATCACCAGAATAAATCGGCTGCGATTCAATTATTAATCGTGGACTAATAATTCATTTGTTGCGTCCAGGTTCTGGCATTGAAGTGGGTTCAAAATAACATTGCGAGTTTTGGTGGCGATCCAAACAAAGTGACCATATTTGGTGAAAGTGTTGGGGGAAATAGTGTCTCCCTCCATTTAATCTCGCCATTATCCAAAGGCCTCTTTCAAAGAGCCATCATACAAAGTGGCGCAGCCTCTTCGCCTTTATTTTGTGGAAAAGTCACTCAGCCAAAACAGTTGGAACTTTTTGCAAAGGCTATAAACTGTCCCTTCACTTTGGGGTTAAGTTTGGTGGAGTGTGCACGAGGTAAATCAGCTAATGAAATCATCAAAGGACAGGAAGGAGTTTCTCATGCTAATTATCATGGCCCACTTGACATCTTAGCTCCTGTAGTTGATGGCCACTTTCTGCCAGATCTGCCTGAAAATCTGTTTAACACCGGCAAATTTCATTCAGAAGTTGACGTAATTACTGGTTTCACTGACAACGAAGGTGCTATGATGGCCATGTTCTTGCCACAACTGGTCCAAAATGGAACGAGTCTGGACACCTTCAAATATCTTGTAACGAAAGGATTGCTTTATGCTCGGGAAAAGAGTAAACTAATAGAGGACTTTATCTTATTCGAGTATACTCACCATGCAGACCCCGATGACAAGGCTGCCCATCGACAATCATTGATGGACGTCATTGGTGATGCATATTTTGTAGCGCCTGCCCTACTTGAAGCCAATGCTTTAGCAAAGGTAAACAATTTGCGATAAGATACATTTTAAAAACAATATCTAGAGATTTCTTCACTGAAAGCGGAGTCACTGCCTGGTGAATTACCAATTAACTTATTGCTAAAAATGACTCATTGACTGACAATCTAATCCTTCAATTAATTCACTTTGTAATTAGAGCCGTGAAAAAAAACTTGACTGTCACAATTGTGATAGCGTCTGTCAAGACTAAAATATATTTGGAAAAAATGACTTTAGATAATTAAATCAATTTATATTTTTCTGCTTACAGGGAGGGAGGCCGCCATTTGTATACGTTTTCGATTACCAGGCAGTCTTCTCGCCTTTGCCTGAGTGGTTTGGAGCTGTGCATGGCATGGATGTCCCGTTTGTGTTCGGTGCACCTTTTCAAAGCTTGTCGGAACCGATCATTGATAAGCTGGCATCAAGATTTTCTGACATTGAAAAAGGGCTGAGCTTGTATGTCATGAAAATGTGGACGGACTTTGCCAAATATGGGTGAGTAAAAATAAATAATAAAAAATAATAATAAAGGTGGCACAAATCTTCTTCATGTTTTTCAAATTCCAAATTCTTTGCAGGATCGTAGGTCCTTAACGTTTTCGTTCGTAGTATAAAAATTAGCATCAAGAAAGACCTACAATTTTTCAAAATATTGTTATCATTTTTTGTACCAAGAGAAAATGGTGCCTGCAGAAACACCACGGCCTCTTAGAAAACCTTTTAATTTTTGCCGTGTTTTATGAACCCGTAACTTGAAAATAGTTGAAACTCCCAGTATTTACCAGTAAGTCAATTGGTAAATAAAGTTTATCTTCTTATGATTCAGTGTAAGTAAATATTCCATTTCAATCATGGTTTACCCATATGACTACTTGCAAATAATTGCTGCATCTTTGACTTTCCATGCAGATCCCCGACGCCCCCCGAGTCAGGACCCTCACCCGTCACTTGGCCTAAATTTACAGAGCAAGACCAGGAATATCTTATCATTGGCTTGAAACCAAAGACTAAACGCAGATACAGGGCAAGAAGAGTGAAATTTTGGAATGAGATTGTTCCTAAACTGACGGAGTTATCACAAATGCAGAAGAAGGAAGTTAAAACGCAAACAACAAAAGACGAGCTGTAAACGATTACGAAAACAAAGCATTTTTACCACAGAACTGTGAACTTTTAAAAGCTCCTTACATCGATGCACTTTTGTCTTTAGAAAGGAACAATCGCTTTCTATTTCAGTCTTTTTCATTCCCATGCAGATTCGAAATCTTTTGGTTAACAGATATCTTTGTTCTAGCAGCTGTGCATTTTATTTCAGGATTAAAGCTCAAAATAACACTCAAATTGGATTTTTGCGGAAGTACATTTTCGAGGTGGCTTTTCGTTTAATGTTCTTAGGTCGAACTGGAATTTGGACAGATTTTTGTGGAGGGAAGGATAGTGGACATCACTCGCCATCCCTGCGACAACATACAATTCAAAAGCATTTAAAAATTGTTTTCCTTTTTCTGTTTCTACCCCTTCCCTTTCTTTTATATTCCTGTTTTAATAGGTCCTTGCGCCGATTCACTCTCCTTTTGTCATGTTTTGCTTCGCCTCACACCAACTTTGCGAGTTTGCCCTTAAACGTGAGTAAAGCAAGTTCGCCCTCGACATTTGCATCTCTGGCCGTTAAGATTCAAGATAAGCATGAATGTGCTTTTATCGTCGGAATATAAGCTTTGGATTGCGAGATCAGCCTCCTGTTAGCTCCTGTCGACTAAGAATGACGTAACACTCGAACTGTGAAAATATTCACTCGATTTAGCCGCAACACTTGATTTAACAGAACATGCTTACACTTTCGATTTAGTCTCAAGCTTGAAATCTTGATATTCTATAGGTAAGAAATGTCTTGGAAAGCATTTTATAAGTGAAAGGAAATTACAGTAGACAACAGCCTAGAAACCATCTTGTGTTTAGTGAGTTAAAGAACTGAAAATTGTGCGTAAAAAACAAAGATGCTGAACGCTACATGTTACAGTTCTACGAATTGTTTATTTACTTTTCTGAACTTTCCTTGTTCTCTGGTTTGTTTATTTGACAGCTTAGAACTACGATTAATTTTTTAATCCTCAGGAAGCAAATCGGTTTTCGGACACCTTCGCTCGACGCACCAAATAAACATCTCAAAGCACTTACGGGTACTGGTGATTTAAAAGAATCAACTCTTTATGTTATGGTGTAAAAGTAATTATTGTTGTGTTTTTTTTTCTTTTTTCATTTTGTTCACAAACTGAAATTCCCAAGGTCTCTGTGTCCTGCTGCCGATGTTCATACCATGCAGCATAACCACAAGAGTACGCTGATTTGCAAATTGACAGACAGCACAGGCTCATCGCACAATTGTCGGCTGAAAAGAATTTCGTGGTTTAAAAATGGCGAGCCTTTGGAAAGTGTGTCAAATCCGAATCCATCGGATCCCAAGGACTCTCCTCGTCCCTTAGGTTTGAAAAGTGTCGGCGTGGAGGACAAGGTAATTATAACTTCCTTCTTGTTACGAGCTGCAAAACCGGCACCATATGAAATATCTGATCATACTGTGGTACATAGTAAGTACTAATGGCTGTTCTTAGGTTCGGCTTTTCTATCAAATGATACGAGTGTGTGTTTCCCCAATTTCTGTTTCGATCAATTTCTCCTGGTTGAGGCTCTGCGGATAGACTCCTTCCGTGCGCTAACTTATCTATTGTAGGCATTTTCTGTTACAATTAGACGATAGTCATCAAAATTCGTAAAAAATTCAGCAATGGCAACATGTAGACTTTTTGTCATTCATTTGTCGGAAAGCTTCATCATTCTCAGGAGTCAGAAAGATGATTGATGAATGTACCATGATGTTTTAGCATTGGAGATATTGAAATTGTATTGCGAGAAAAGGAATAATCGGCCGTAATGTCGCAATGCAATTGGCCAATTTACCATTGTCGATAAGAGTACAGACAAAGCCGCTCGCGTGAACGTGTCACGCAATGGTCACACAATGAAAGAATCATTTTATTTGACGTCGATATTGTGGTAAAAAAACAAATCAACAGTAGTTTGGCGTGGTCTGTACTCTTATCGACAACGATATTCTTCATCACCGTTGTCAAAATTTAATTTGTTGCGGTCTCAGCATGCTACGCCTCGTGAGTCCACAACAGTTTGACCACTGCGCCGACGAATATCCGAAAAAAGTTAAGACTACGCTAAACCACTTTCGATTTGTTAACCTCACCATCAACTTTCACTTTAGCAACTTCCTTTAGTTACAACCAGCCAATGAAATGCAAACATGCAACTGTGATAATATTCCTCATTTCAGTATTTTCGGTTTCAACAAGTCCCGGGAGTCTTCGAGTATCTGTCCTGTTTTTCCGTTCAGTTATCATCTCTCCCCTTACGTGTGTAATTTGATATGAAAATAAAACATTGAGACTTACGCAGATAAACTTCCTTTTACAGGTCAACTGCAGAGCTTTGTGTTTACTGTCCAAGGTTAGAGCACTACTAATTTGCGATTTGACTGAAAAAAAAATTATTTTGACTGCATTGTGCTCTACAAAATAGGGCATCATCAAA